GATTCAAAGTGGCCCATTCCTGTTCATTTTAACTCATTCACCCCCAGTGCTGCTATGTTCATGCATTCCATTTTCCCTTTTTACTATGTCTATCTTTCCTTGCTTCATTCTTTTCACGTTCCATGTCCCTATTTTATGTGTGGTGTTGCTTCTGATGGGATTTGTCTTTCTGAGTGTATTTATTGCTTGCTTCATCATTTTTGACTGCCCTTAACTGTTTTTGCAAGTGTGTTATCCTTTAGTTTCTATCTACCTCTCTGTTAGTGCTCTTGTCCTGCCTGTGTAACACTTTCAGTGTCTCATCATAGGGTTTTCTAAGTGTGGGATTACACAAGCAGGACCACCTACATCTGATATATATATTATCAAGATTTTTTTAAAAAACTGTATTAAAGTATCCACTATGATCTTTCAGTACATTTCATGTCAGTAAACAAATTATGGGTAGGATTGTGGATTGTAACACCTGGGATTTAGACATTTGTCTGTTCCCATGGAGATACTCCTTCTCTCATCTTCACTTTTGCTGTTGGGATGATTTAATTCTCATGAGCGTATGAACTGTCAATCAAAAGATTAGAAGTGACAATAAATTATGTGGCCCTCCAGAAGTTGCTGGGATGCAGCTTCCAGCAGTCCTGGACAGATAGCCAGTGATGAAGAATGCTGGGAACTGAAGTTCAACCACATCTGGAAGACCACATGCTGCTTACCCCTGGGCTAGATGATTTGAGTCATTATAAGACATGTTGTATGCCACCCAAGGATAGAAGTTGTGAGCCATTTTGGGCTTTAAATGTTACCACCAGCACCTCAAAAGTGGACTAGAAATCCCACCTTTTTTTTTTTTTTCAAAACACACAAAAGAGGGAAAGGGATGGGATCCAATCCTTTATGAGTCACTGCTTCAGTACATACCATCAAGGAATATGCAATATTTGTTGTGTGGTATTTATTGGGCTGAATTTTTTAAAAAGCAGATTGCCATTCCCAGCTAGAGATTACAGAATTGCTTTGCATTCTATACTATAGTATATGTGGAACACATAAAATCAGAATCTTACCCAAAAACAAGTCTGTGGAGGAAATGAGGTCTATCTGTAAAGTGCAGGGCACACATTAAGCATTCATCAGCACCAGTAGAATTCCAAATATGTTGTTAGATCGAAAGTTGTTCAACTGGCACAAGAAATCAATCTCCTTCAGCCCCCTGTGCCTCTGAAAAGGTCAGGGGACCCTCCTGAATATCATGGACTTTCTTTCAGACAAATTAGAATGGGAGAGGAGAAATCACAAAAACAAAACAACTTATAGATTTACCTTGCATCTGAGTTTGTAAAGTTACTTTTTAAAAGAAGTTCATTCCTATTGCTTGTTAATAGCATTTGAGAATTGCATGTTGCCCTTTATAGCACTGAAAATGTAACTCACCCATTGTGTTACTTGTTGCTTTTCTATTATCAAAGTACATTGCGATGTAACAATTTCTTTATAGGTTTTAATCTGATTCTGTAGTTAAATTGTTTAATGTTTTAATTGTCAAATGCTTTCATATGTTTCAGACATATTATCCCTCATTGTTTTATATTTAAGTTGTTCTAATGTGTTTTTACTTGATGTTAGCTGTACACTGCCCAAGATCCTGGGTGCAATATTGATATTTTAAATAAATAACATATTACTTTGCATTCTTTCTGTGTATTGGTAAGATAATGGCCTAAAACAAGAAAAACCTATGTTAAAATACCTCTAACAATAATTGTTTGGAAGTGACTAGAAATTGTTATTTGTTGAATTTCACTCTTCCTTGTTATATTACCTATGAAATATGTTGCATGCTCCTTATCTCTAAGGTAAGTAGTCAGATGCATTCGGACTGATTAAAGTCCAAGATTTTGTTCCTGTTCTTTCCAGTTCTGAGATTCATACACATTTTGCTTATCCCAGAAAATTCCTCTGCCAAGCTCCTGGTACAACCAGGGACTTTTTATACCAGCTCCCTGTGTCAGTTTATTTTTACCCAAGAACAAAATCTGGGTCTTTTCAACCAGCCTAGGTGCATCTATAAGGTTATTTGTAACTTGTTGGACCCATGCTCTGCCTTATAGCCAATTTATTATTTATACTACTAACATATAACAATCAGATATAAGTTTGAGGTTCTGTACATTTAAAGTTGCTACTTTTTTCCTAGTGGAATGATGTTAACTGTTTTCAGCAGGCAGAAAATCAACATATAACTCCTCAATCCTCTTTTATAATGCTAGTGGAGACTGCATATGTTGAAGCATCAGGGATGCTTTTATGGTGGATTGTTGCACTAACAGGGGTTGGATTAGATGGCCTTTGGGGTCTCTTCTAATCCTATGAGTTTATGAGTCTGAGTACTGTGTTGCTTATATCACTGTTATAGACAAAGATGTCTGTCAGGATGGAGCTGGATGGATGCCTAGGATGGACTAGGTACAAAATAAGTGTGAAACATGTAATGTAGAGGTAATGCTATATGATGATATAGAAAAATGTATGTAGAAAGAATAATTTTATGGACTATAAATAATATACTAAAGTACGTAATGTAGAATGACATATGCACTATAACATGACTGTAAATGACTTTGAATAACTATAACATGAACAATTGTAAGTACAAGTATACTAGAGACTTCAATGCAATGATAATGCACTTCAATATTAATTACCTCAATGAAAGGAACAATTACAATATGAAAACTATGTTCAATATGATAAGATGCTATAATGGATAACATGAAACTTCAAGAGAATAGTGACATGCTTGTACCCAGAAATTAACACAGCCATTTGGTTCTGTTCTTTACAGGAGATAAGTGCTGTTGTGTTTCCTTCCTTGGATGGAGCTGAGAGCAGCAATTCTAAAGCTACATCTGCACTGCAGAAATAATCCAGTTAAATATTGCTTTGACTGTCCTGCCCCAATGCTATGGAATCCTGGGATTTGTAGTTGTATCTCACAAAACTAAATTTCCCAGAATTCCACAGCACTGTGCTCTGGAGGTTAAAATGGTGTCAAACTGAATTATTTCTGCCGTGCAGTTGCAGCCTAAGGGGTTATTCAGATGGTGAAAATAACCAAGGTAGAATGTGGTTGAATCTTTGTTGTTCACATGGATTTTGAATGTACCCGAGTAAGGGGTTTTTTTTGGGGGGGGGCAGCAAAAAAACAACCCACTTAACCTGGGATAATCAATCTAAGTTTTCTTCCCCAAGTTTTCCTAAAAGATTCAGATTCTTGGCTGTGTGAATAACCAATGCGAATCGACCCAGTATAAACAGGGATAAAATTCTGTATGTATTTTCATAATCAATTCCATCTTTATTCAAGTGCTGACACATGTGTGCAACAGAACTTGCAGAGATGCACATAGATGCGGTTCCATTTAAAAATATATAGTGTGAACAACAAAACTGGAATGCATGAGTGAGATTATTCAGACAGCCACGCTAAAAAACCCAATGTCTGAATACCCCCTAAGAGAGCAGCAAAACCTTTAGTTGATAAAGTAGGTTGTGATATATATTTTCCTAGGATATCTTTTTCAAAGTTGCTTCACTTAATCTGACTCATACAAAGAAAGTCCTGGAGTGTCATAGACTCATATTATTCACTGAAAATGGCAGTCATCCACCGCAATATCAGAAGTGGCTTCAATGTTTTGAACAAAGGATTGGGCAGGAAGTAAAATAAACAAGAACACACTGACAGTTTGGGCTTCATGATTAAGGAACTAGCTTCATTTCTACTGAAGCTACTTTAGTATAACCAGCAGTGGAACAGAGCAGGAAAGTAAATAAAGCCCAAACTCTCCCGGCTTGAAGTTGAAACCGACCTGGCCTGTTTTACAACTTCTCACTAAATTGCATTTACATCCCTCCATGGGGGAGGTTTCATTTCTCTGAACTGTTGGGCTAGAACAAAGAAATCTGATCTCCCTGAATCTTCCTGGAGCCAACCCTGCAGAAAGAATAACCTTTGGAAGGACCAAGGAGGGACAGCATTGAAGAGGCAGGAAGTATAGAAAGCAGAACACATTAGATTGAGCAATAACAAGAGCAAGATATTAATGTATTTCATGTTATTGAGCAAGAACTTATTGGATCAGCCCCAGTGGTATAAGCACGTCATCTCAAAGGATGACATTTGCAGGGGCAAAAATAACTCCCAGCCTCACACTTATTAAGTCTCTCTTATCCATTGAAGAGACAAGGTTCCAGTAAATGGTGTTTGAAACAATTATTTGAATTCTCAGATTCAGGAGTTTCAGAAAGTTACTTTTTGGAATTTAGGGTACCACAATGACCCCAGACAGAACGATTACATGGGCCATACTACCCGTAAGATTCTGGGAGTTGTCTGAATCTCCCCTTCTTTAGAATGGTCTCTGAAAGAAAAATAGCAGCTTGTAAAGTCCCCCAGAAAAGCCAGTGTGATGTAGTGGTTTAGAATTTAGGATTATGAATCTGGAGACCAGGGTTTGAATCCCTACTCAGCCATGGAAACCCACTGGGGCTCATCAAATAGTTTGCAAAGGCAAACTCCCTGTGAATCAATCCTGCCCAAATGATGGGTTCAGCTTAGGGTTGCCATATGTCAGAAACAACTTGAAGGCACACAACCACAACAAAGTCTCCCAGACTTTCCCTTTCTGTGAGAGAAAGAGTTGCACAAAGATAATAAAAATGTGGAGGGGAAGGAGAGAAGAAGCCAGCTAGTCCAGCTCAGAAATCATTGGGTGATGCCATGCCAAAGTCTGTATAACTCATCACATTAGCTTACTAATAAATAAGGACTTCCTAAGTAATTCATTGTCAACCAACTTTTTAATTCCAAGGCTTAATGCTCATAATCAGATGTGACATTAGGCTCTACCAGACTAGCCTAATGAAGTGTGACTTCTCACAATATGGCTCCTTCAGTTTTGCTGGGCTTTGCCTGCTGTAGTGTTTTTTGTTTTGTTTTTTTGCATCCACTCATTCTATTCTTTCAAGAGTATTTCTTTAATATGTACAATAACTCTTCCAGGGATTTTAAAAAATTGAGGCTTGGGTTGCTGAGAGCAAAAATGATCTGAAGGGCAAATGTTCTGTCTGAGTTGTAGCACTATAGCACAAAAGTGCCATTTTACTAGTCCACTACAACTCGAAAGAGAAAGATGAGCAAAATATTTGCTGTTGTTTTGGTGTGCATTCAAGTAATTTCTGACTTAAAATGACCATAAATTGAGCAATCACATTAAATCGTTTCAGTAAGGCCCCATGGTAGACCTATGAATATCACCATAATTCAAATACACCAACCACAGAGCCAGAAGAGGGACAAATTGATAGATTCTATGAAAGAGCACAGGAAGAAATTGACAGCAAACCAACACAGGATGTCAAGCTGATAATTGGAGATTGGAATGCAAAAGTTGGAAGCAAAGAAGAATAAAAAACAGTAGGCAGATTTGGCTCAGGCAAAAGAAACGAAGCAGGTGAGCATCTGAGAGATTTTTGTGAAGCCAACAAGCTATGCATTGCCAACACATTTTTCATACAACCAAAAAGAAGGCTATACACATGAACATTACCAAATGGTCAACACAAAAATTAAATAGACTATATAATTGGAAGCATAAGATGACGGAACTCTATAGGGTGGTCAAGACTAGGCCAGGTGCTGACTGTGGCACAGATAATGAATTACTTATATCAACAATAAAAGTAAGACTCAAGAAGAAAACAAAGCCAGTGATTATACCAAAATATAACCTAAATAATATCTCAATAGAATTTACTGACAACATAAGAAACAGATTCACACTACTAAGTATAATAGATTGTGAACCAGAAGAGCTTTAGTCTGAAGCCAAGGACATAATAAAACCAAATAGACTGAGAACCAGAGGAGCTATGGTCTCAAGCCAGGAACATAATAAAAGAAGAATGCAGACAGACACTTTCAATAAACAAAAAGAAAGAGAGAGAAAATGGATGACAGAAAGAACACTACAAGCAATAAAGAAAAGAAGAAACGAAAATAAAAGGGAAATAGGAACAAACTAAGAATTATGAATACAACAGTACAATAGCTTGTGTGGAAAGATAAAAAAAATTACTGCAACAACCCATGCAGAGAATAGAAGACAACAACAAAAAGGAAAGAACAAGAGATCTATTTCACAAGATCTGGGAAATCAAAGGAAAATTCAAACCAAGGACCAGGATGCTCTATGACAATAAAAATAACATAATTCAAGACCAGGAAGGAATAAAAAGACATTGGATACAATACTCAGAAGAATTATACAAAAGAGATAACAAAATGAAAGACACATGGAATGAAGAGCCACTATTTCTCTTATTTCAGTTTCTAACTCGCTTTTTAGAATTTGGGGTTAGTGAAAAACAAGTCACCAGGAACAGACAATATTCCAATTGAATTGCTGCAATCCACATTGACAGAGTCAGGTCTAGTGCTAACCAACATATGTCAACAGATATGGGAAACAAAATGATGGCCACCAGATTGGAAGTGGTCATTATACATCCCCATCCACAAAAAAGGAAATGCAAAAGACTGCAGCAACTATAGGACCATAGCACTGATCTCCCACACAAGCAAAATTATGCTCAAAATTCTGCAACATAGACTCCAACAATATCTGGAGAAAGAGGATCAAGGAAAGGAAGAGGCACGAGGGGTCACATTGCAAATATACAATGGCTACTGGACGCACCAGGGAGTTCCAAAAGAAAATCAGCATGTGCTTCAGAGACTACAGCACATCTGATAGTCCTGATGAGGAATCTGCACTCAGGACAAGAGGTTACTGTCAAAACAGAACACAGAGAAACAGAATGGTTCCTAATTGGCAAAGGGGTCTGACAAGCTTGCATCCTTTCACTGGTCAACTTGTATGCAGAACATTTAAGAAAGGCAGGTTTGGATACCAAAGGAGGAGTGAAAATAGGAGGAAGGAACATCAACAATCTAAGATATGCAAATGACCCCATAGTACTAGCAGAAAACTTCACAGACCTGGAACACCTACTAAAGAAGATCAAAGAAGAAAGTGCTAAAGCAAGCTTAATGTTGAACATAAAGAAATAAAAAATAATGACTACCGAGAACCTTCACAAGTTCAACCTAAACCAGGGGTAGGCAACCTTTCCCCTTTAAGGGCCAAGGGACTTCAGCTCCCAGAATCGCAGGAACTATTGGACAACATGGGACTATTGGCCAACGTGGCTGAGGCTTCTGGGAACTGAAGTCCCTCGGCCCTTAAAGGGGAAAGGTTGCCTACCCCTGACCTAAACAATGAAGTAATAGAAATGGTAAAAGAATTCTCATACCTGGGCTCAAACACGGATAGAAATGGGGACTGCAGTCAGGAAATCAGAAGAAGATTAATAATAATAATAATAATAATAATAATAATAAATTTTATTTATATCCTGCCCCTCTGCTGGGCAATCGAAGCGGCAAACAAGATTAAAAAGAACAAAGTTGAAACAATTCTATCTCACCCTCAATCCCTAACCCCCCCAAAATCAAATTAAACTGTATTAGAAATAAAATAAAAATAACCAGCACTAATTTAAAACTATTAAACAAATAAACAATGGAGGATGGGAGCAAAGGAGCAATCAATCTCAAATTGGTCGGGAAAGTTATTCCGGGAAGGCCTGTTGGAAAAGATCCGTCTTTACTGCTTTTTTAAAGGAGTCAAGCGTGGTAATAAGACGGATCTCATCTGACAGGCCATTCCATAATCTCGGAACGGCAACAGAGAAGGCCCTCTGGGAGGTTTGTGACAATCTAGTTTTCATAGGCAGCAGCAGGTTCCTCCCAGAAGACCGAAGTGCGTGGGGGGGATCGTATGGGAAGAGGCGGTCCCTAAGATAAGTTGGACTCAAGCCATGTAGGCCTTTAAAGGTCAAAACCAACACCTTGTACTGTGCCCGGAAACTAATCAGCAGCCAGATTAAGAATGAGGAGGGCAGCCATGAAAGAACTAGGAAAGATTCTAAAATGCAAAGATATACCACTGAGCATAAAAGCTAGAATTATATATGCCACCGTATTTCCTATTACCATGTATGGATGTGAGAACTGGACAGTTAAGAAAGATGATATTAAGAAAATCAATTAATTTGAGATGTGGTGCTGGAGAAGAGTGTTGAGG